GCCTGTAGCTCCGAACTATATTCAGACCGAAAGCCGAATTGAACGTCAGGAATCACATGATGATCTGACGAGAAATTGTCAAGGTGACGATAAATCACCTTTTCAGCGAGCTTAGAAGGAGCTGACGCAGACTAATGGGACGGTAATCCTGGGGGAATATCGAACCTGCCTTGTTTGGGATCATGATGACTTCAGCGACCTTCCACGCCTTAGGAAAGTAATGAGTTCTGAGCATTGTATTGATTATTGCCACCAGATAAGTCAAAGCCTTGAGCGAAAGCAACTCCAGTGCTATGTTGGGGAGTTGATCCTCTCCAGGTGCTTTACGCACCTCTAGGTCCTTAATGTGGTCTTGGAGCTCTGCTTGTGTGCAAAACGGAATCTCAGAGGATTCCGTTGGTGTGCTATGCTGAGATTCATCTGAAGAGTCTTCCGTAGAAGAATCTTCTGAAAAGGAGTCACCGATGTTAGCACCGATGTTGGTATCGCCATTCGCTCTGAAGAAGCTCCTGACAGATCTTACAATTTGTCGTTCCTCGTCAAGGTCATTGTCCAGATCATAATTGGGAGAGAACTGCCTTTCCATGACGTCAGCAAAAACCTCCACTTTATCCTCAGTCCTGAAAACTTTGCCTCTAGGACCATGAATATGTGGTAGTTCTTCTTGCCTTCCGTTTCTGAGCGATTTTGCCACTTTCCAGAGAGGAATACTTGATTCAAACATCCCCGCCAGAAAGCCGATCCACTGCTCATTGCATTCATGGAGTGCATTTCTCACTTCATTGACGAGATTCGTCGCTCTACGAATGTCATCAGGATGACAAGACCTTTTTGCTTGCTTAATCGCAGCACTCTTTTCAGAAATTTTCTGACGAATGTCATCAGGGAGAGTCACTTCTTTTAATTCATGATTGTGTAGTGCCACCATGTCTGCGTACATCGTACAGGAATACGCAAACATGCGCCTCATTTATGGGGAATGTAGATGTAATGCTAGTGCTGCAGCTAGTCTTTATCGTGAGAGGTATTCAAATGATGCTCATCATCCCGAACACCGAGGGACGATTTCCGAATCAAGCATAAGGTGAAGGAAGAATTTCCTTTCCTTACGAGGACGTCGTACTACAAGCAGTCGAAGAAGACGTAGGAACTTCAGTAGGTCAAATAAAAATAAGGACGGGAGTGCCCAAAAGTACAACCCACCGAATCTTGCGAAAGAACGAGCTCCACCCGTACCACATACAGCAAATGCAATCTCTACAACCCCGGGAATATCTTCCAAGAGTTGAGTTGTGTCAAACAATGTTATGGAGACACCAGAAAGATCCGCGGTTTTTAGAGAAAATTTTATGGAGTGATGAGTCTACATTTAAAAAAGTTAGTTACATGAATCTACACAACTTACGCTAGTGGCATGTAGAAAATCTACATTTGATGAGACAAGGTAGATCACAGTATCGTTTTAAACATGTCGACCTTGATTCTAAATGGGAGAATCATTGTACCCTTTGAGCTGCCAAAGTGCTTGAACGGCGAAATTTATTTAGACTTCTTACAAAATCATTTACCAAATTATAGGAAGACGTACCACCAAGCATTTACAGAGACATGTGGTGCCAGCAAGACGGGTGCCCGGCGCACTGTTCAGTTTGAGAAAATCCTGATGCGGAATACCCGAGCAAATGGATAGGTCGGTCTCGTACAAGGTCGTGGCGAGCCCGTTCACCTGACTTAAGTCCACTCGATTTTTTTTACTGGGAAGCGGAAAGAAACAGCTTACTCAAAGCCAATCGAAAATGTAGTTGAACTACGGGACGTAATGGAAGCAGCTGAATTTTTTAATAACGCTAATTCGCCCGCCTGATAAATCGATAACTAGAAAGGAATTGAAGATATCTTACCAGTCTGGTTTGTTTCACTTGAACGGCGCCAGATGGGACATCAAACAGTTTGAAAGAACAAAGTACCAGTGGCGTGAGTACGTTAAAGGTCTATGAAAATAAGGCCAGATACCCTTGTGGATTGAAGGAAGAAATTGAAGACTGCCTCAATGAGCCATATTTATTCAGAATCGTGAGTAAAAATCCCAACAAAAGAGTGTTTGTGGTCAGCAAAGCCAAGAACGCCTGCGACTGCTTTATGATGTAAATATAAAAATTTCAAAATGATTGCACTGCTTTAAAGTCCTTTGACCTTTAATAATGTGTGGATGCACCCTGATGTGCTACGCATCCTCCAACGCGCCTACGCATACTTCTGATCAGGTGGTCAATGTCGTCCTGTGGTATCTCATTCCAGGCAACCACCAACTCCTCTCGAAGTGCTTCTAGAGTCTGAGGAGGACGTTGCAAATTGAGCAATCTCCTACCCATCATATCCCACACCTGCTCAATTGGGGATAAGTCGGGAGATCTTGGTGGCCATGGTAACAATGTGACATCATTATGTTGAAAGAAGTCTATTGTGACTCTTGCAACATGTGGTCGGGCACTATCTTCTAACCCTGGCACGACCATCGTGCATGCCTAAACAAAATCGAGACTCGTCACTAAAGACAATACTGTTCCATTCCTGATCCCAGAGTGACCGTTGTCTGCACCACTCAAGGCGATTACGTCGGTGTTCTCGAGTTAAAGGGAGGACCCAGTGTGGCCGGTATGAAAACAAGCCAAAACTTCTCATTCGTCGGTAAACACTTCGCATGCCAATAGGTCTTCCTGGTAGTGGAGAAACGGTCCCTTAAGGCCAATAATCTTAGGCGGCGATCTTCACGGTCTGTTGTTCTACGGCGGCGTCCAGTGCCCCTTGCTCTTTGCGTACGGCCTTCTCGAAGCCATGCCTGACAACACCTAACCACAGTGTCTACACTTCTTTGCACTCTAACTGCAATTCCCCAAAAAGAAAGTCCAGCTTCCCGAAGTCCCACTATACGGCCCGTATCAAACTCACTAAGTTGACGAAATCGTACAGGTCTCCGTACTCTAGGCATCGTAACCGATCGTAAAGGATGTCAAGAACCAAAATCCGCCAACGTTGATTCTTTACTGCGGCTGAAATATTCATTTTTAGAGCGTTAGTGAATTAAAAAAAAGCAGTATAAAAACCGGAATGTCCAACTGATAAGGCTGAACATTTTTTCACTTGTTATTTACAGTAAGATAAATACATTCACCAACTTTTATTAAAATAAAACCATTTAAACTGGGTGTTCGGATTTATATGTCACTTGGTATACTTAATATAAAGAAGAACAATTGTGATTGTACTGCCTGAATGTCGGAACATCCCTTATATACAGGGTGGCGCATCGAAAACGAAACAGACGCATTTACTGGCAGCTCAGTTTTATTTGGAAAAACGCTAAGACCGGTCGATTTTGTTTTCGAGGGGGATACAAGTTTGGTAAAAAATCACGTTAACACGTGCAGCCCCCTGGAATGGGGGGTCGAGTGATACCTTATTTTACATGCCTTTCAATCCCCTTTATAATGATGTAAAATACATGAGCTTCAGTTCAGTAGTTTTGAAGATTAATTGATTTAAAGCTTAAAGTAGACTTTAATAGGTACATCAAATTAGTTTGTACTACTTTCAGAAGAAATTTGACAGTAACGTGCATCGAAAATATGTTCTAGAACTAAATTTCGGGAAACTAGGTCAGTCGCCAATAAAAAACCCAACATTGAAAATCCCATAAGTAACGAAGCAATAGAAGTGGGGGTTTTAGGGCAAGTTTATGTATGTAGATCCTACGTTAAGTACCCGCAAATTGGATACTGTGTGTGGTGTTAGTCGACGTACTGTCCAACGGATTCTAAAGGCCCATAGTTTTCATCCGTATAAAATTCACCTCGTACAAGAACTTAATGAAGACGATTTTGATCGGCGATTACAATTTTGTGAAGATATGAGTGAACGAATTATAAACGATGAACATTTTCTATTCAACACTTGCTTTTCCGACGAATATTCCTTTTTCTTAAATGGCGTAGTAAATCGTAATAACAGCCGATATTGGTCCGATTCTAATCCCAGAATTTATCATGAGGTTAATACACAACAGCCACAAAAATTACCTGAAAATTTGACCAGTGAAATGTATTTGGAATTACTGGAAGACAGCCATAATTGAAAATCAGAATGATCGGCGGTACATTGCGAATAGGTTGATGTCCAACAGGATGGTGCCTCACCACATTACGCATTACGTGTTCGACAATATTTAGATCAGACGTTTCCAGATCGATGGATTGGTAGAAGAGGTGCCATTGAATGGCCCACAAGATCGCCAGATTTATCACCTTTGGATTTCGTTATGTGGGGTCATTTAAAAAGCAAAATCTATGCTACTCAGCCAACATCATTAAAACACCTGCGACAAAGAATTGTGAATGAGTGCCTTCAAATTACTCCTCAAATATTGCAAAATGTGCGGCAACGTTTTATTATTACATGGAGAGTCATGGTGGCCATTTTCAACATTTACTTGCCAGCGGGTCAGTTCATTCTTCATTTTTAAATTACTTTGCTGCCAAATGTATTGATCTCCACTAATGATGATGTATTAGTTTTATTTAAGCTTTAAATCAATAAATCTTCAAAATTACTGAACTGAGGTACATTAATTTTATATTATTATAAAGGGAATTGAAAGACCTTTAAAATAAGGTATCTCTAGACCCCCCTTTACATTTAAGATTTTGGGGGTGGTGCCACCCCCGCCTAGGGGCCTGCTCCTGCTAATGTGATTTTTGCCAAATTTGTGTCCCCCTCGAAAACAAAATCGACGGGTCTGAGCGTTTTTCAAAAAAAACTGAACTGCCAGTGAATGCGTCTATTTCGTTTTCGATATAAACAACACATCGAACATTGTATGTTAGTAACATTGTTTTCGTTCTCTGATAAGCAAACGTCTGAGTTCCTTTTGGAGTCACCCTGTATGTCTGTATCGTCTGGGGTGCCTCATAGTGAACAAAATCCCATTCCATTCTATTCGGATTGTCTACGAGATTACCGAAAGTGCAGAGATCGACATTTGCATCATCGATAATCGCATCAGAGTGATTCGGTGAATTGTGTTGTACGCTTAGAAATTTATTCTGCAGTCCTGCATGATGTGAGTTTACTTTTTTGTTTTATTTGTTCGAATCTTTATTTGGCAAAACTTCACAAAGCATTTTCCTGAAAGGCAAGTTTTTAAAGCACTTTTTCCAAGTATCTAATCAGCAAAAGCAAAATTCATCATTAATGACGATATTGAAACGTACTCGGCAGCGAAGTGGATAAAGGGATTTTGTGATAAAAGTATTTAGAAGAAGCCGCTTGTTCAGGTACATAAATGAGAGTCGTGAGGTTTATTGGTATAACGCGGAGTTATAATCCAAGCTCTTAATGATCTCGGCCTTTTTTAACATGCCACCAAGTCTTTCAGTGTATTTATCAAGTATGGATCGCTTATCACTCAGGACAAGGCAGTGTAGGAGTTGATACATTCAACCCTATTCTTCGTGTGTTCTGAATAATCAAAGATCCCATTACGAAAAAAGCTATTAAATGTAAAAAACGATAAAATGTCAACTTATTGACTAAGTAGGCTGGTGTGTCAATAGTTCATTCCGCGTTTGCTACAAGTGAGCATGAAGTGAACGACAGCTAGTTCCAAGTTAACATCTTGTAGGAAAACCTACATAATGTCAAAAAACGACATAATGTCACGTTTCAAGTTACGTAATACAACTACTGACCACTCCTTATAGCTTTTTTCTATCCAATCATAAAGCTTCTACTGTGTTCGACTCAGCGGTTTCTTGGATTGAGTGTTTCTCACTATTCTGATCACTCCTTTGGTACTCACTTGACATCACATAATGTAATAACAAGGGACGCTTGACAGGATATGGAAGTTATGGAATTTAGTGTAAACTTTTCAAAGTTGGCAAAACCTATCATGTTAATATATTGATTTTTAACACAATATTTCAAAAGCTTCATCTGGAGAAGCAGGGGGGAAATTAGTGTGACATGATGATAACACAAAAATGCAACTGAAAAATCTTGTTATATGGTCATAAGGGTCGATTTTTATCGATCAGTTCAATACTATCGCAGTATTCTAGATTTTCTTTTGAAAATATAAGAAATCGTATCCCAGAAAGCGTAATCGGACATTTGGGGAGAATAAAACTTATTTTCTGGAACCGAGCTATTAAAGAAAATAGGAGCAGGCATGCTCAACCAAAATCTTTCATATATTTTTTTATTTAACAGACAGTACCGCATCAACCATGTATGGTTATAAGCGGCGTGAATGGCACAATATTCTATATATTGAAGTACATATCAATGTCTCTGTTAAATTTTACAAGTTTTTCGGTTTGGTGCAGTAAAACTTCAATGATGTTATCAGAAAGGTGGTTCTTCTGGTAATTTGATAAGTAGGGCACTCCATAAGGATGTAAACCGCCGTGAGCGGCTGGTTGCACGTTGAGCACACTGGAGCATCGGTTCCTTCGAAGACGTGCTTGTGAGTCACTAGAATGTGGAGACGTGTCATAATTATCTAGTTTCTCCTTGCTGAAGGTAAAGTGAATCATGCGTTGACATCTGGAGCAATTGCGTGTAGTTTGCTGTTGTCTAAGGCTGGTTATTAGTTATTTTATTTATTTATTTAGCAACATCCAACAGCTATAGCCAATTACAGGATGGATAAACATGAAAATATAAATAGATGCATGTAGTGGATGTATGTAGAGAAAGCTAAAATGCTGCAAAACAGAACTGCGAGGAAAAAAGTGTTGTAGCTTTACCTACCCAGCATTCAAAAATCAGAGCGGCAAGCATTAACGAAAATGAGCATTAATGTCTCCCTAAGTCGCACAAAACGAAAATATATCTAAAACGATATTAACTGAATTATAATCACGGCACATTATATAGATAGGGGAAAACTTAAGTATTTCAGTCCTAGGCCTGGCTAGGTAAAAAGTTAAACTAGTTCGTGACGCTAATCTATTTATTTTTTCTATATTATTAGTCCTTTGAAATCTTGGTAGGGTGTACGAACCACATTTCTGCTTGAGGGGACTGCCGCTCTTGATGCTTCTATGTCAGCCTCTTCATTGCCCGGGATTCCAGTCTGTGAGGGCACAAACAGAAACTTCATCCTTAATTCCCCTAAGTATGCAGTTGCGAGGATACAACTTTCTGATACTTTCCAGTGCACACAACGAATCCCTTACTACAAGGAAGTTGGCACCTATTGATGTCAGTGCCAGACCGAGCGCTTCCTTGATGGCTGTCTGCTCTCAAGTGTAGACGCTGCAATGTTGTGGTGGAGCAGAAGATATTAATTTGTTGATTGTCAGAGACTGCGACATAGCCAACCCCATCTGATGACTTTGAAGCATCTGTAAAAATCAGTTTTAACTTTCATAATTGTCGGCTTAAGATTCTCAGACATGTGCTACATGATTGCTACTTTTCCTCATTTTTCACAACGTGAAAATGACGACCGGGGCAGTCAGAACATAGGTAGTAGCATTCTTTGACATTCTGTCTGTCGGACATGTAGATGAATGATGTTGCAATGAGAAAAATGTTGGCTTACCAGAAATGAGATATTGATTTTGCTTTACATCTCTATATACTGTAGTGACCACTTGCCATGAGCAAACTGGTTTGTCTGAAAATAATATACTTGCTGTTTTCAAGTAAATTGATTGTATTTTTGTGAGGGTCCCAACTTATGGACTTCAAAGCGTTTACTTATTACAAGTAACGTAATTGAGACAACAACTCATGCAACCAGTAGTATTAAATTCACATAGCAAATAAATACTTCACTGACTTATACGAACAACTTCTCTTTTAATATGTTAACTATTTAATTATCGCAAACATAAGCAGTATGTGAAAATATCCCCTTCTTTTAGTGAAATAGTATATAAGATGTTTCAAAACTGGAAATTGTGATATCTATAGTCTGTTGTGTTTTACCTTTTATCCAGAGAATATCTCTTTTTACCTATAGATTCATTTTGGTTTTAGTAGTTTCAGACACTTTATATAACTACCCTAAAATTATAATGTACCAGCCTGCTTTAAACAACGAAGCATGCTAAAATTCACTTGCATTTGTATTTATGTAACTTTGAGCATTCTATGTACTACTGATATGGAAGCCTGTAAAAGTAAAAGAAAATCTATTCCCAAAAAATTCAGAAGTTGACTGAACGTGAGCAAACTAAGTTCGGCTGTACTAGTTTCACTGATTTGAGCATAGTTTTATTTATGCACATGTAATTATTTTCACAATGCCATACGAAACAAGTAAATTAACAGACTTAACTTTCCCAAAGAAAATTGCATAATGCACATATCAGTAAGTCAGCTGCTACTGACTCTTGCACACACACACATGCATTTAGTGATAGATGACCGTTGCTTCTACTCATTTTCTGAAAATACTTCTCAATAGAGACTGTTGACATTGTAGTTGTATTTTCAGGCATTATTATATTTTATATCGAAGACCAACTTAGATAAGCATAACTGACACGCCCATGGCGCGCAAGCCCTTATAATGACAGTGACAAATATAAAGGTGGAAGACTCATAGAGTGATGGAAGAATTTTCAAGGCGACGGCGACGGGACGAAACTAAAAAAACGTATGTATTTTAGTTTACATTAACAAATGTCAGCGCAAATGTATGCATAATTCATGTAGTTTTACTGTGAACCGTTAAAAAACCGGTACACCATGCGCAAGTAGATGGAAATCTGACGATCGTCACCTACCGATGGCTTTGCCAAGCTGACTTTCGTCATCATCCCGGGCGAAGAACACGATTCGACCTATACCGTACTGATGATTTGCTAATGAGCACTAAACAGCACTGTCTGCTGTTGGTCATGGTTACAGGAGACAGAAAGCAAATATACATACATAGAAAATCCATTGATAGCTTGATCTGTGAATACCTCGTAATTTGGCCGTGATGATGCGGTGCGACATCTGTGTGCTTAGCGTAGAATGTAGGGCGGTATAAGCTAGAGTGACTAAGGGCAGATGCCCCTATCGGCTTCACTGTGCGGAATGATGAAAATAAGCTTGACAAAACCATTGGTAGGTGGCGATCGTTAAATCTCCACTTACCTGCACACAATGTTTCGAGTCTTTCAAAAGACCACATCCACTTGTTTGCTTTGCATCTGTTTTCACCACTAGACCTATACCGCACTGATGAATTGCTAATAAGCACGAAACAGTGCTGTCTTCAGTCCTTTTCAACCAGTATACTGTTTGTTATTCTAACTGAAAACATGTGTTTAGTAGTCTGTTCAGATAACCAGATTTTTCCTGTGAGCTCCTGTCTATACCTACACAATTGGCTCCTACGAACATGTTTGTCAGGCCCATGCCTATTGTACACTCTATCAATTTCCTTTGCAGTATTGTGGACACATCAACCGTATCTACCCTTTGCCGGTGGCGACGGCGCGTCCTTTACGACGCAAGCGTCGGCCCAACCCCCAACAACAACCGGTATGGATTTTAGTCCGATTCTGCCACCACTGCCGCCCCCGAGTAGAACAGCGTCGTCGGCGCCCCCGATCAGCGGTGCCTGCCACACATGGCTGATGCTGCTGCCTGGCCCCATCCTGCTGCTTACGAGGTATTCACGCCATCCTCACGTTGGTTTAGGTGAGTCACTCACGTCGCACACACCCTCCAACTACCTGCAGCCATCAATTTGCGGATTTTCGGGATGTAAGGTTTTAAGCGGCGGTTTTAGTGCCATCGCGGTGCAGAAGAGATAGGATAGTTTCTGGTAAGTTTAATGTTAGTCGTATGATTCCATGTACCGGTCTTCATCTCCGACTCTTTCTTGAGTTACCCAAGTCCATAAATAGGTATTATGTCACAAAATGATAGTTTCACAAGAGGAATCTTCTTTGAAATTGGGATCCCGTACTAAAGATAGTCACTAACCGTCTTTGAATATATGCCAAACCAGCAAACACCAGGCTATGCGAAAACAGTGACAATACCTTCGGGGCAGAAAGCACATCGAGTTTCTATAAACATACATTTTAGAATGTTTGCTTGTGAGAATCAAAATCGCACACAATAGTGCGACTGACATAATTCAAACTTTAGTTCACTTGCAGCTTCAGCTGCCAAGATTTAAGTTTCTCATAAGGACATTTGGTTTTAGGTATTCAAAATTGTCCTCAAACGAATCTGTCAAATTCGTGTCGAACTAGTACCGGCATGTTCTCAAAGGTTGACTGCTTACAGATTTATTTTTTCTAAGAAAGCTTCAGGAGCTAACTTAGTAAGTAAATTGTATAGAACATTGTCTTTCTTCTTCTGTAGAGGCCTACCTATCCTGATTTCTTCGTTGTTGGTTTAGTTAAGACCACAAAATTTTTATGTATACTGCGTTTTGTTGTTGTATAAAGTTCAGTCAATACCTCCATCTGCTCCAAAGCAGTAACGTTTGTTCAATTCGGCTACCCTGAAAGAGCAGAAAACGGTTTGATAGCATACTGCAAGCACGACATTGCTTAGATTACACTGCATGATGCAGAATTTTTACTATTTTTGATCGTGTGGATAATTCCGTTTCCTTTAATTACTAATTTAATAATTGTAAATGAATTTATTTGCTCAATCTATTGCCAAAATAAATTACTATTTGCATGTTTGTTTTTAGATAAAATTTCGTCGTTGCTATTAATAGTTTTGGTGTATTTCGCCCCTCGATGGTACCAGGTACTACAACCCCGTTAGCCGTTTCGTGTTGATCTCCGCGTACGTCACGTTGCGTTAACAAATATCGTGTATTCAATTTGTACCTATTTATTGTGTTGAATATATCCGTTGTAACTGAACCGTCTACCTTTTTCCGCAATCACAACCAACCGATGCAACGCACTAAAATCCTCAAAAGTAACCTTTTATATTTTCAATCCTCAAGAAAAATAAGAGACGTTATTTTTGAAATCAGTCAAGGTTAAGAACTAGTACGCGGATGGATATGTATGTAAGACTGCAAAACGCTCAAACCTTTAGAAAAGTTATGCCACAAGGTTACCTACTTGAACAATATGCATGTTTTTCCTTCAATCAATACTGCCAATGGCGTAGAAACTTACAAAACCCTGTATCGGCGCAAAGAGATATTTTATAACATATGTTTATAAAAAAAATATAATAATAATAAAAGGTCTTTATTAAGGAATACGTTACACACATACAATGTTCCTTGAAAGGCGGAGTCTTAAAAAAATCTGTTCTACTCAACCTTCATGTTTTATGCACCTTCTGATATTGCCACTGTGTTTGCGTATATATTTTGATAATATACAGGGTGGCGCATCGAAAACAAAACAGACGCATTTACTGGCAGCTTAGTTTTTTTTTGGAAAAACGCTCAGACCCGTCGATTTTATTTTCTAGGGAGGAGACAAGTTTGGCAAAAAAATCACCCCCTAAGCGGGGGTAACACGACCCCCAAAATCTTAAATGGAAAGGGGGGAGGTCGAGTGATACCTTATTTTAAAGGTCTTTCAATTCCCTTTATAATGATATAAAATTAATGTACTTCAGTTCAGTAGTTTTAAAGATTTAATGATTTAAAGCTTAAGTAAAATTAATACATCATCATTAGTGGAGATCAATACATTTGGCAGCAAAGTAATTTAAAAATGAAGAATGAAATGACCCGTTAGGCAAGTAAATGTTGAAAATGCCCACCATGACTCTCCATGCAATAATAAACATTTTGCTCAAAACGTTGCCGCACATTTTGCAATATTTGAGGAGTAATTAGATGCTACTCATTCACAATTCTTTGTCGCAGGTCTTCTAATGATGTTGGCTGAGTAGCATAGATTTTGCTTTTTAAATGACCCCACATAAAGAAATCCTACGGTGATAAATCTGGCGATATTGGGGGCCATTCAATGGCACCTCTTCTACCGATCCATCGATCTGGAAACGCCTGATCTAAATATTGTCGAACACGTAATGCGTAATGTCGTGGGGCACCATCCAGTTGGAACGTCAACCTATTCGCAATGTACCGCCGATCAGGACCAACTAAATGAACGCCAAAAAAAAAAAAACAGATCATTCTGATTTTCAATTATGGCTGTTAATGCAGGATCTATGGCGTCTTCCAGTAATTCCTAATACATTTCACCGATCAAATTTCCAGGTAAGAAAAAAGGACTAACTAAATGATCGCCAAAAATACCAGCCCAAACATTTATTTTTTGTGGCTGTTGTGTATGAACCTCATGATAAATTCTGGGATTAGAATCGGACCAATATCGGCTGTTATTACGATTTACTACGCCATTTAAGAAAAAGGAATATTCGTCGGAAAAGCAAGTGTTGAATAGAAAATGTTCATCGTTTATAATTCGTTCACTCATATCTTCACAAAATTGTCATCGCCGATCAAAATCGTCTTCATTAAGTTCTTGTACCAGGTGAATTTTATACGGATGAAAACTATGGGCCTTTAGAATCCGTTGGACAGTACGTCGACTAACACCACACACAGTCTCCAATTTGCGGGTACTTAACGTAGGATCTATATAAACTTGCCCTAAAACCCCCACTTCTATTGCTTCGTTTCTTATGGGATTTTCAATGTTGCGTTTCTTATTGGCGACTGACCCAGTTTCCCGAAATTTAGATACAAGTTCTAGAACATATTTTCGATGCACGTTACTGTTCTCATGTCGCTCATTAAATATTTCTGCTGTTCTATTAGCGCACTGATTATTTCCGAAAAATATTTCGATAACGTAATTTCAACACGTTCTGCTGTGGAATATACCATGGTTAATTTATGTAATAAAGCGTCACAAGTTATTTTAGCAACAAAGTTTGGTTAAATCAATCGCAAACTATGTACTAAATTCCTATTTAAAGTTAGTACGAGATATTTCCTGAACTTTATTCAAGAAATAACTTTCTTGCCAAACGCTCCAATAGCTATTTTCAACAACAAAATGATAAACAAACCATGTACGTAGTAAACAAAAGCATTTACTTATTAAGTAAATCCTTTTAGTCAAACTTCTTCTGAAAGTAGTACAAACTAATCTGATGTACCTATTAAAGTCTACTTTAAGCTTTAAATCAATAAATCTTCAAAACTACTGAACTACAGCTCATGTATTTTACATCATTATAAAGGGAATTAAAAGACCTTTAAAATAATGCATCACTCGACCCCCCTTTCCTTTTAAGATTTTAGGGTTGGTGTCACCCCCGGCCAGGGGGCTGCACGTGTTAACGTGATTTTTTGCCAAACTTGTGTCCCCCTCGAAAACAAAATCGACGGGTCTGAGCGTTTTTCCAAAAAAAAAACTGAGCTGCCAGTAAATGCGTCTGTTTCGTTTTCTGTATGTATGTGGATATCATGATATATCAGTTTGTACATACATATCATAGAAAAGACGGGTTTAAAAAACAAGATACAATATTTTCCGAATAATTCATGGATTGAATTTTTTCCTGGTTATCAGGAGATACAATCGCCCACATATGCTTTCAATAAATCTGGAACTCTAATTGCCGATTTAACTAATGAAATGTTTACATTTTCCTACAATCAGCATGACTTAAACATTCGGTTGAGCGATTTCATTTTACTATTGTGTGCTTTGAACATAACGTATATTAATGTCAGAGTGTATTAACAGATGCTTTTGATATTGGGTTTCATATTTTGATATGGCTGTGTCACGCGTTACAACTGAATTGAATGTATTTAGTAAAAATAGTGCAACTGGTTCATAGATGTGACATGTGCAACTCTGCAAAATATTGGTGAGCCACTCTTCTTACCTAGTAAGACTTTCAAAAATGCCTTAAACTAGACAGCAGATGATTTTAACATTTTTTGATATATCTGTTCACTACTTCCATACGCTCGAAATATGCAAGTCTGTATTAATCAAATTGAAATTTTTTACTGTCTTTATTTCATAATTATTATTGTTTATGGAGTAGTTATATAAAAACATGTTCACTGGACAAATGCTTAAATGTATACAGAGGGAAATATGGAAAGTTCACAGATTTCTGGAACCAATTTTTGCCTCTACAGAAGGCGATGCCTAAAAAAGCAAGCCAATAATAGAAAAACGAAATAACATGTTCGATTATTTTGTTTTATGAAATTGGGGCGTGTTATTATGGTCTTTTGTATAAAGTTCTTCAATGTATTTGTGTAAAGCTATTTTCCACTTTTTGCTCTTAACTCCGTCAAGTAGTGCTTGCTTCCTACTATGACATCCATACTTTAACTCTGAAACTTACATACAAATTTTAACTCTCTATAAAATAATCGGCAACTTAAAACACAATGAATACAAGTAAACTATTCAAAATGTTTGCTTGCTCAAAGTTTTCGCCTTTTTTGTACTTTTGTACGAAATGAAGCCCATTTATTATAATTATCATTATTATTGTTATTAAAGAAATGAATAGACTAACAAACCGCAAAACCAGCGGACATGCTGATGACATTAACTGGCATGAACTTTCAACATAAACTTGGAAAACTTGTAGATCACAAAACTTCATCCGTGTATGCTTTGCGAACTGAAAGTATAGTATACAGTGTTTTTCTTTAACGTCCCCTTCCCTTTGATCTTTTGAACGGATAAATTCAAAAAATTAAAAATTGAGGTAATGAAATTGATGCGTGGATACCATATTTTAGAGTAAAATTGGCAGATAAAATGTCAAGATGGCCGCTGGGCGCCATCTTAGAAAAAAATTCTATGAAAACGGGGGTATTGTGGCACATCATTTTGAAGCTCCTGACGAGTACTTTATAACACTAGAATATACTAAGTGACATATAAATCCGAACGCCCAGTTTAAATGGTTTTATTTTAATAAAAGTTGGTGAATGTATTTATCTTACTGTAAATAACAAGTGAAAACATTTTCAGCCTTATCAGTTGGACATTCCGGTTTTTATACTGTTTTTTTTTTAATTCATTAACGCTCTAAAAATGGATATTTCAGCCGCAGTAAAGAATCAACGTTGGCGGATTTTGGTTCTTGACATCCTTTACGGTCGGTTACGATGCCTAGAGTACGGAGACCAGTACGATTTCGTCAACTTAGTGAGTTTGATAGGGGCCGTATAGTAGGACTTCGGGAAGCTGGACTTTCTTTTCGGGCAATTGCAGTTAGAGTGCAAAGAAGTGTAGACACTGTGGTTAGGTGTTGTCGGGCATGGCTTCGAGAAGGCCGTACACAAAGAGCAAGGGGCACTGGACGCCGCCGTAGAACAACAGACCGTGAAGATCGCCGCCTAAGATTATTGGCCTTAAGGGACCGTTTCTCCACTACCAGGTCCATTGCAAATGAATGGTTTGCAGAACACGGAAGACCTATTGGCATGCGAAGTGTTTACCGACGAATGAGAAGTTTTGGCTTGTTTTCATGCCGGCCACACTGGGTCCTCCCTTTAACTCGAGAACACCGACGTAATCGCCTTGAGTGGTGCAGACAACGGTCACTCTGGGATCAGGAATGGAACAGTATTGTCTTTAATGACGAGTCTCGATTTTGTTTAGGCATGCACGATGGTCGTGCCAGGGTTATAAGGCGACGTGGTGAAAGGAGGAATCCACAGTTTTTTGTTGAAAGACATGTTCATCACACTGTTGGAGTTATGGTTTGGGGTGCTATAGCTTATGGTTCCAGGTCACCTTTAATCTTCATCAGAGGTAACATGAACGCTCAGCGTTATATCCACGGAGTTCTAGAACACCAACTTTTACCCTATCTTGACACCCTGGCAGATCCAACTTTCCAACAAGATAATGCCCGACCACATATTGCAAGAGTCACA